CCAGAATCCAAGCAGGTTCTAGAAAATGGGTCCTAGACACCCAGGGAGAGGCAGGGGAGCAGAGAGATTCTGGCTTTGCTCTCTTGTCCCTCTGTCTGTGCTCATCCATCTGTCTACTCTGCTCAGCTGAGAAAGGAGTTATTGTGCTTGCTCAGTGCTAATTCCTGAGCCCTGAAGGTGGTGCAGCCGGGAACCAGACAGGAAGTATACCAGAAGTTTCCACAATAATGAGAACAAAAAAAAGAATCATGAAGAATACCTAATTGTTATGGAGATTTGTGTTCAAGAAGTTCCAGTAGCTCTTGTCCTGGTCTGATCATGTCTGTAGAGAGGGCTGGGGAACTCACTAGAAGAGGGGGCTCCTTCAACACGGGGAAAATCTGTCAGGGGGTAGGAGTTTTGGGGGAATAACAGTCTATATGAAATTGTACCATAAAATTTAAAAATTCAAAATAAAAATATAACAAAAAGAAGGGGGGGGGTTCCTTGTGACCACATTTTACCATTGCTGCATATGGGGGTTGGGGGAGGCGATCCTGGCATCACCACAGGTCCACAGGTGGAGCAGCTCTGCTGTAAATACCTGGAGTCTGGCACTGCAGGGTCCGAGTTCTCTCCGCTTTGTCCTTTAGAACTAGCTCTTCTGGCACAGCTGATAGTTTCCAGTTATGTTCTTGGTGCCCATTCCACTGCAAAACCAATACCAGCCTCCACCATCAAATGGGTGGTTCCAACTGGACAAACCCGTGTAGACTCCAGTCTGAAACTGAAAAAACCAAGAACCTGGAATACCAATGTGTGTCAGTCCTAGGGTAGGAAGAGATTGATGGCTCAGTCGGGCAGAGAGAGGATCTCCTATTCCTCTGTCCTGTAGTTTGAACTGCGCTGTAAGGGGTTGCATGATGTCCTCCCTCCTATTTGAAACACTGAGTAGGGAAATCTGCTTTACTGAGTCCACCAATGTAAATATTAAAGTTTTCCTCTAAAAGCCTGATACACTGAGAAATAATGTTTAACCATAGATAGCTCTTGACCCAGTCAAAAATTTTTAATTGCAAAGTCAGATATACAGAGAAGAGGAGAGACAGAGTGGAAGATCTGCTGTCCATTGATTCACTCCCCATATGGCCGCAACGGCTGGAGCTGCACCAATCTGAAGCCAGGAGCCCAGAGCCCCTTCTGGGTCTCCCATGTGGGTGCAGAGTCCCAAGACTTTGGGCTGTCCTTGACTGCTTTCCCAGGCCACAAGCAGGGAATTGGATGGAAAGCAGAGATGCCGGGACTAGAACTGGCGCCCATATGGGATCCCAGCACGTTCAAGGCAAGGACTTTAGCCACTAGGCTACTGTGCTAGGCCTGGCTCAGTCAAACTGACTCCACACTGCTCCACACTGTGCTCTACACTGCTTCTCAGAGTTCCCCGGGAGGATTCAGACCCAGGCTTCTGCAAGGAACCTGCTGGAGAGCAGTGTGTTAATTGTTCCTCTCCCTGCCTGACAGGTGGTCTCCCCACGACCTATTAGTAGTGTTTCCTGAGATCACCTTCTAAGTCAACCACTTACCTCCAAACCCTTCTCAGGTCTGCTTCTGGGGAACCCATTCTGAGACAGAGAGGAATCATGTATTCATCCAACACTTAGACCATTGAAATGGCTTTCAGTGCGATGATGGTAGTCAACAGGAAGTCAATAATCTCAGGTCTTGTGGAATTAGAGCTGATGGGGGTTGAGGAGGGAGACACAAAACTGACTCATATTCCATACCTGATGAAATTGGGAGAATGGCTGGGCTGTTCAGTGAGCTGGGCCAGGCTGTCAGGAACAGGTTTTGGGGGGCAGATTTGTATGTGGAAATGGTTATGAAAGATGGTTATTAGATGCCCAAGGGGGCCTGCCACTTGGGAAACTGGAGATGTGAATGGGGAAGTGATCAACTTATGTCCAGGAGAAGCAGTCTGAGCCACACAGATGTGCAGCTGCTTGGTGCAGGGGTCAGGACCCATGATTTGTGACACCTGCAGCCTACACAGGAATGCCTGAACTCAAATCCCAACTTGGCTTCCAATTCTGTTTCCTGCTAATGTGCATTCCAGCAGGCAGCCAATGATGGTTCAAGTCACTGGGCCTCTGAACCCACCCGAGGGACCTGGATGGAGTGCCTGTCTCCCGGCTTCTGCCTTGCGCAGTCCCAGCTCTGATAAGCATCTGGGGAGTGAACTATAGGATGACAGACCTCTTTTTTGTTCCTTTCTGCCTTCCGAATAACTAAAGAAAATCTGGAATTTTCCTAAGTATCCAGATTGACAAAATAAAAAGAAACATCAGTTAAATGCTCACAGATATGTCTATTTAACTAAATCTATTATTTCAACACGTAATCAGCATAAAAATTGCTACCTATTTTACATTTTTCAATACTCGGTGTGTATTTTACATTTACAACATTTTTTAAAAAGATTTATTTTTAGTTGAAAGATGTAATTACAGATAAGGAAAGACAGAACTCTCCCATCCACTGGTTTACTCCAAAAACGATCACAACAGGTCTGAGTCAGGCTGATCCGAAGGCAAGAACTACATTCGGGAACAGGCACGACTTACAGTATAAATATCGTGTTCCAATAACCACATGTTGGCGACTACGCAACATAAAGGTCAAAGCCGAAAGTGTGAGTCCACCCGGATCGTATAGCGGCAGCACTTCCGTTGGGTTCCCCCGGATGGAAGTTACCGCGGAACTGCACTCGCTGGAGTCTGCGCGCAGCGACGGACTGTTGAGGGTGGAGGGATCCCGGCGGCCCGCTGCACTTCCGCCGCGGGATCTGCGTGCCGGCTGGGGGAGAGGTGAGCCGCACTCAGGGAGGTGGTGACCGTGCCTTCATGGTCGGACCTGTGGCTGGACCCGGGGATGCTCTAGCCCTGGAGGGGCGTAAGGGGAGGATGGTCTGGTGTTGAGGTCCGCGGCCCTCCCCCTCCCCTGTGACCCTTGGGCAGACTGTGCCCGCTGCCTCTGAGCCTCAGCTTCGCCCCAGCCCTGTGAAGTGGGGTGACGGTGGAAGCTGCTTCGCCCCAGCCCCGAGGAGCGGGGTGACGGTGGAAGCTGCTTCGCCCCAGCCCCGAGGAGCGGGGTGACAGTGGAAGCTGCCTTAAAGGGGCGTGTTGTGGGTGCGGTAATCCACGCTCGCCCCGTGCTGTCATGTACAAAGACGGGCAGGTGTCTTATCGTCATGGCCAAAATGAACTTTTTGAAGAATATTATTATTATCCTTGGAGAGAAAGAGGGTGCCCATCAGCTGATTCACACCCCTAATGCCTGCAGGGGTCAGGGCTGGGCCTGCCCAAGCCCAGAATTCAGTTTGGAACCCTGACAGAGGCTCTCCAGTGGGCTGTGCCAGGTTACTTGGGTGATTGTGTGGTCCTCATGGTGGAGCTACAAAAATTAAGTTGCTGTCCCCTTTTCATACTGGTGAAAATTTCACACTGGTGAGGCTGTCGTAATTCAGATATGGGCCCAGAGTGACCCAACTTGATGGCAGTGGGGTCAGATTCTGATACTAGGGAACACACTTTTTATTTATTTATTTTGTAGGATTTATTTTATGGGAAAGGCAGATTTATGGAGAGATGAGACAGGAAGATCTTCCAGTCTCTGGTTCACTGTTGGAGCTGAGCTGTACTGAAGCTAGGAGTCATGGGTGCAGGGTCCCAAGGCTTTGGGCCGTCCTCAACTGCTTTCCCAGGCTACAAGCAGGGAGCTGGATGGGAAGTGGAGCAAATAGAACATGAACCGATGCCCACATGGGATCCTGGCGCATGCAAGGCAAGGACTTAACCACTAGGCTAGCACACTGGGCTCGAGTAGAATGCTTTTATTCTTGTTTGGCAGGACTTTGGGTTGTCAAGTTTACATAGCAGTTAAAGTTGCAGAAGTGGTTCGTTGTGATCAAGCAGACATGGGAAGTCTGCTTGATGGTGGAAGGCAGATTTGCGTGATTCCTGCCTTGAGTTCCGGAGCAGATAGAGCAGGTGGTTGGTTGGGAAGGTGATGAGCCGTCTTGTACACATATAGCTTTTGCCGTCTGTGAGTTACTAGGACGACGGCCAAGGAGTTCTAGAACAAGGGGATGCTGAAAGTGGAGAGATGAATGGGATTTGCTTCCTGCTTGCCGGAACAGCCCAGCTTAGAACAGAAGTGTACATAGTCATGGACAGCCAAGCATGCTGGGTCTGGTGATGAAGAGACAGAGAGGATTCTGTAAACAAAATCCCATTCTAGATTTGTAGGATGGTGGTCAGGGCCAGCCTTTCAGGAGGAAGCAGAGAACTGAAGGTGGCACAGGACTTGCCAGGCTTCGGAGGGAGCATAAAGCAGCCAGAGAGAACAGTGTGGGGGAAACCTCTAAGCTACTGAGTGAGGATCAGCTTAAAGATACATTGGTGTGGCTGGAGAGAGGCAAGAAGGCTGTCTGCTAAGAATGTTAGTGAAACGTATGTCTCCATCTCCTGTGCCTTTGTCACCTTGGTCTCTTCCTGTGAGGTAGCTATTGTTTCATAGGCAGTCTGGAGATAATTGTGTGTGCTCAATATTCCTGCCCTCTTTCCCCATACGCTTTAGTGTTGTAGCTTGCTAGGCTTGCGTCCTTACCTTTGTCACATACAGATAGATTCTGTTGCCAGGTGCATCTTATTCCTTTGTATGGCTGTATCAGGATTTATTTAATCGCTTAAGAGATGTAGCTCTTTGACATACTTTTGCTAGTAGGAGCTCTATAGTTTTAATTATCCTTCGGTGTACATCTGTCGTTTTGCTGATGAATATGTCTGTAGGATGAACACCTGAGAAAAGACTGCTGGGTCAAAGGACTTGTGTGTTTACAGTTTTGATGGAAAGCAGCATATCGTCATCCTGAAACCTTGTACCGTTTTTCAAAACCAAGTGTGGAAGGGTCTCCATGGGAAATTGGAAAGCAATAGTTTGAGACTCTTGGGAGGATGAGGTATCCAGTGCCAGCGTTGGATTTTTGTTTTTAAAGGAATTGTAAGGAAGATGATGCTGGCAGGCAGTGAGCAGCTTTCCCAGTAGCAGGAGGCTGAGGGCGCTCGCTTTGTCGTCACACAGCTGTTCATTTGAGTCCTGGCTCTGCTGCTTCCTGGCTGTAGGAGCTCAGGTAAGTTCCCCAGCCGTGCTTTGTCTCTTTCCACATCCATAAGTGGAGATAAAACACTAGCACATGTTGCTATATTGTTACCTTGCCAGGGACCTGGACTTTCATCTCTGCCCATTCTTTGTGTGATCTTGGGCAGATTGTCCCCATTTTTACACATGTAAAATGATTGCTAAGAAGACATTGTGGGGTCCTGTACATGGTGTTGTTGTTGGTCACACTTTCACAGGCTTTATACTGCGTGGTACCATGCAGCCTCTACAGTGTGTGCTCCGAGGGCAGAGGGCCTTTCCCTGGGGACCAGCAGCCTCGGTGTCCAGGCAGCTCAGGACCTGCAGAGCACATGGAAGTCTCTGCAGTACCGTGGGTCCTGGTCCCGAGAGGCTGGAAGATGGAGTGCGGAAGGATTTCAGCTCCAGACTGGCAGATGGACCGACTTTCCAGCACTTTCTGAGGAATGCCTTGCCCTCTGAAGAGAAGCCGCCTTGCCCGGAGGTGGCAGATTCACCCCCCTATCTCTCTGTGGACCATCTTCTGGGAAGGCAGAGAAAAGGTTGGTTTTACTTCTCTTCTTCCCATTGACTTCCTGTCTCGCTCCTTTCTACCTCCCTGTAGGCTAGGTTAGCAGTGTGGGAAGCGGAGGCACATCTCACACTGGCATGCAGTTTAACCACTGTGTCGTCGTGTCCATCCCCCAACTGGAGTTTTTATTAACTACTACCCTCAACTCATCTCTGAAATTTATGCTTTATACTGGATTAGAGACTTTTTCTTTTTCTTTTTTGGAAGATTTATTTAGTTATTTGAAAGGCAGAAAAATTACAGAGAGAGAGGTGCAGAAAGGGCGAGACAGAGAGAGATCTTCTATTTGTGGAGTCACTCCCCAGATGGCTGCAGCAGTTGGAGTTGGGCTTATTTAAAGGCAGGAACTTTTTTTTTCCTTTTAATTTGATCCTGCCCAAAGCCAGGAACTTTTTCCAGGACTTCAAAATGGGGGGGCCAGGGGCCCAAGGACTTGGGCCACCTTTTGCTGTCCTCCCAGGCACATTAGCAGGGATCTGGGTCAGAAGTGGAGCACCCAAAACTGAACTGGTGCCCGTATGGGATGCTGGCACAAGAGGCATCATTTTTATGTACTACACCACAGCATGGACCCCTCTTTTTTATAGGATTTATTTATTCATTTTATTTATTTATTTATTTGACAGGCAGAGCATGTATCTGCTGGTTCTCTCCCCACATGGCTACAATGGTGGGGGTTGGGCCAGGTTGAAGCCTCAATTCTGGAACTGCATTCTGGTCTTCCACATGGGGGACAGGAGCCGAGAACTTGGGAAGGAGACCTTTTGAGACACGTGACCCCTTGTTGTCTGTCTCTCGTTGCAGTCTACCTTGAGACCTACGGCTGCCAGATGAATGTGAACGACACAGAGATAGCTTGGTCCATCTTGCAGAAGAGTGGCTACCTTCGGACCAATAACCTCCAAGAGGTACCTGCATTTCCCCCTATGTTTTCTGGGCCCATGTAAGAGCCTGCATATGGGCCAGTTCTGAGATGCTTCAGGCACAGATGCAGCTTGGGGAGAGAGAATTCCTTTAACTGGAAATTGGACCATGGGACTGTGGTATATTTTTTGTTTTCCAGCTCTTTTTGAAACCAAAAATGATATTCATTTTTTAGACAATGGGCTTAGGTAAACATTGACATGGGTAGGGAAATGAGAGTTTGGGTTTAATGGACACAGAGTTTTAGGGGCAGATGAAATAATTCTGGAAAAAGATGGTGGTGATGGTTGTGGGACACTGTGAATGTTCTTTATCCCCACAGAATGGTGTGCTTAGTAGTTGATACAATGAATTTTATGTTTACTACAATAATTTAAAAAAAAAAAAGCAGCTGCGTGAGAGTGGTTCTATGAGGCTGATTTCAAAGATCTTAATTTTCCTTTTTCTCTCTTTTTTGCTCCCCTTCAGGCTGATGTGATCCTCCTTGTCACCTGTTCTATCAGGTACTGGTTGGTTATTCCCTAGGGAGCGAATATGTCATGTGTGCTAGTGCCAAGCTGTTCTTCTATCCTGAGGCCCGCTCAGGGCTCCCAGCCATTGTTCCGATGACATTAGATCCTGTGAGGAAGGATCTGCTCTCCTGCTATCTCGTGTCGGAGTTCTGAAAGGGAGTGGATGACCTCAGAGTTCTTGGCCTACAAGGGTGGTCTCCTTGAAGCGGGTGGTTTTTGGCTGGACTGAGGGGCTTGTCAGGATTGGGAGATATGCAGGCAGGGTTCATTCCGAGAAAGGTGAATCCTAACGGTAGTTCTTCACTTGGATCTCATCTGTGCACTCTAAGGCTGGAGCACTCACAAGTGTATCTATAAAGGGCCTATAAAGGGCTGGAGGGGATTTTTATTCTCTTCCCATTGTTCTACTCTCAGGTTACTCAGCAGTTTATTTTCCGTTCAGTTCTGCCCTTTGACCTTTGCAGGGAGAAAGCCGAGCAGACCATCTGGAACCGCCTCCAGCAGCTGAAAACGCTAAAGACAAGGAGGCTGCGCTCCCGGGGGCCCCTGAGGATTGGAATTCTAGGTACCCAGGAATTTGCAGATTTTGTTAGCTCTGACTGGCACTCGCCATGGCTTCCAGTGGAGAGTTTGCAGTCAAGTCTGGATTCTACCACAGAGTGAAGGAATCTGGCACATCCCATACGACGAGAGATGAGAGCCTGGAGGGTTAAATGAGATAATGTGCATCAAAGGGCATTTCCTAGCTCCTCCATCTGTGCTCAGCATCTTCTTCTTGGAGTTGGGTGCAGCTCACATGTCCCAGAATTATAGACAGGAGACGGAGTTGTCTGGTGGGGTGGCGTGAATGGACAATATAGGCACTCATCAAATACACTTCTGTCCCCTTTTCCACATTTCGTCTGCTCAGTAGCCACTACCAGTTTGGACAGCATATCCAATCATTTTCCTCCAATACGTTCCAATATTTTATTAAAACGTTCTGTTGCACAATTCTGATTGGATTGGCTGGAGAGTATATTTCAAAAGTAATCATTGTGTACTCTTTATATCCCAGAGTTGAGTTAATATATTTAGCATTGTGAAAAATGTTTTTGTGTCCACTGTCAATTTCCTCTTGATGGTGTTTTAATTTTTCTGGGAATTTCATTGAATTGCTGTGGAACCCCTTTCCAGGGGTTCTGCCGTGCAGAAAGAGGCAAATTCTAGTGCTCGCTGTGTTAGTCAACATGAAAGGTGACACTGAATGCTTAGATAGGTGCCCAGCTTCCTCATCCTGTGCTGGGAGGTGGCCCTGTGCAGGTGCACCTGACGTGTGCCCAGCTTCCTCATCCTGTGCTGGGAAGTGGCCCTGTGCAGGTGTACCTGACGTGTGCCTGTTCTTTCCTTCCAGGCTGCATGGCCGAGAGGCTGAAGGAGGAGATCCTTGACAAGGAGAAGATGGTGGACATCTTGGCTGGTCCAGATGCCTATCGGGACCTACCCCGCCTGCTGGCAGTCACCGAGTCAGGCCAGCAAGCTGCCAATGTGCTGCTCTCTTTCGACGAGACCTATGCTGATGTCATGCCAGTCCAGGCGAGCCCTGGTGCCACTTCCGCTTTTGTGTGAGTCCCTGCCCAAGAGAGATGGGAATGAGCCTCTCTCCTTTGTTTCTTACTTTTTTAAACTATATAAATTTCATTATCTTTTCTTTTAAAGTTATCTAGAAAACCAAACAAAGCATCAACAACAAAGCCAGCGGTTATCAACTTGGAATGACAGAGTGACAGAGAGAGGAGGGGCAGAGATCTTCCATCTGCTGTTTCACTTCCTAAATGACCACAGTGGCCAGGCCAAAGTCAGGAACCTGGAATTCTGACTGTGTCTTCCACGTGGATGGCAGGGGTGCAGGCATGGGGGTCATCCTCCACTGTCTTTTCAGGCGCATTAGCAAGGAGCTGGGTTAGAAGTGGAGCAGCTTGCACTTGAACTGGTGCTCTGATATGGGATGCTGGTATCACAGGCTGTAGTTTAACTTGCTTCACCACAGTGTGGGACCCTCGTCATGTTTTAAAAAGAGATACATGAAGGACAGTGCTGTGGAATAGTAAACTACCACATATGGCACCAACATCCCATATAGGCACTGGTTTGAGTCCTAGCTGCTCTGCTTTCGATCCAGCTCCATGATTATGGCCTGTGAAAGCAGTGGAGAATGGCTCAAGTCCTTGGGTCCCTGCACCCACATGGGAGACCCAGAGGAAGCTCCTGGCTCCTGGCTTTGGATCGGCGCAGCTCTGGCCATTGCGCTCACTTGGGGAGTGAATCATTGGATGGAAGATCTTCCTCTCTGCATATCTGACTTTGTAATAAAAATAAATAAATCTTGAAAAAAAAACCCCTCAGTGTCTGCACCTCATACACACACGTTTACTCTCTTTCTGTCTCTCTTTGTAGTCCTTTTCTCCCTGCTTTGGATATAAATATTTCCAGCACTGTATCCATGAAGTAGAAAGTCTAGGCATGGCAAATCTTCCCCTTCACTCCTTTACTTCTTCAGGCTAGCCACTATATTCAACAATTAATTACTGTTTGCTTATGTTCTCTGATTAGATACCAATTTTTAAATTTAAATTTAATTTAAATTTTATTGCTTTGTGGATCTCAAGTTGATCCATTGTGAGCCTGGAAGCAAGAGGATAAACCCAAGGGAGTTGTGCCTTGCTCCTGCAGTTGTGCCTGCTCCTGCAGCTGTGCCTGCTCCTGCAGCTGTGTGTCCTGCAGCTGTGTGTTCCTGCAGCTGTGCCTGCTGCTGCAGCTGTGCCCTGTTCCTGCAGCTGTGCCTGCTCCTGCAGCTGTGTGTCCTGCTCCTACAGCTGGTTAGGAATTGTGCCCTGACACTCTGCCATTGCTGCTAAGTGCTTGTGTTTCCTTGTCCAGGTCAATCATGCGAGGATGCGACAATATGTGCAGCTATTGCATTGTTCCTTTCACCCGAGGTCGGGAGAGGAGTCGGCCCATTGCCTCCATTCTGGAGGAAGTGAGGCAGCTTTCTGAGCAGGTGAAGCACTCCCCAGGCTTGCCTCCTGTGAGCATGGTGGGAGGTCAAGGCCAGCCTTTCTGGTGTGCAGTATGTGTTGTCTAAGCAGGTGTACCCAATTATGATGATGCCTGTTTAGAATCAGGTTATCGAGTGTGAATTCTGGCTCAATGTGTAGGCCTAAGTCGTTTATCTTTATTTATTTAAAGATTTATTAATTTTTATTGGAAAGGCAGATATAAAGAGAGGAGGAGAGTCAGAAAGGAAGATCTTCCATCTGATGCTTCACTCCCCAAGTGGCCGCAACAGCTGGAGCTGAGCCAATCCAAAGGCAGGAGCTCTTCCAGGTCTCCCACGTGGTGCAGGGTCCCAATGCTCTGGGCCATCCTCCACTGCTTTCCCAGGCCACAAGCAGGGAGCTGGATGGGAAGTGGAGCCGCCAGGATTAGAACTGGCACCCACATGTGATCCTGGTGTGTTCAAGGCGAGCACTTTAACCTCTACGCTATCACACCAGGCCCAGTCATTTAGCTTTTATAAAACACTTTCCCTGTATGAAAAGAGAAATACATAAAACCTTCCTTGTAGGATTGGTGGAAAGTTTGAAGAGGAGTTACTTTACTTTTTTTTTTTGTACCCCTAAAGTTCTGTTTATTTTTATTTGAAAGGCAATTTTATAAAGAGAAGCAGAGACAAAGAGGTCTTCCATTTGCTAATTCACTCCCCAGATGGTCATAACAGCCAGAGCTGAGCTGATTTGAAGCTGGGAGCCAGAAGCTTCTTCTGGGTCTCCCACATGCGTAATAGGGACCCAAGTGCTTGAGCCATCCTTCACTGCTTTCTCACACCATAAGTAGGGAGTTGGATTGTAGTGGAGCAGCTGGGACATGCACTGATGCCCATACGGACTGCCAGTGCCACAGTGCAGAGGATTAGCCTACTGTGCCAATGTGATGGCCTCTCAGCACTTTTTTTTTTTTGTATGTGTGAGATTTATTTTTATTGGAAAATCAGATGAGAGACAGAGAGGAAGATCTTCCGTTCATTGATTCACTCCCCAAGTAGCTGCGATGACTAGAACTACACAATCTGAAGCCAGGAGCCCAGAGCCTCTTCCGGGTCTCCCACGTGGATGCAGGGTTCCAAGGTTTTGGGTTGTCCTTGACTACTTTCCCAGGCCACAAGTGGGGAGCTGGATGGGAGGCGGGGCCACCAGGACACACAAGGTGAGAACTTTAGCTGCTAGACTACTGTACTACTTAGCTATTTTTTATTTAGTGATTTGGCAGGAAGCCACTCAACAAGTGTTTAACTGGCTTCCCATGTACTCTTTTAGGGACTGAAAGAAGTGACACTTCTTGGTCAGAATGTTAATAGTTTTAGAGACAGTTCAGAGATCCAGTTCAACAATGCAGTTTCCACCAACCTCAGCCGTGGCTTCACCACCAACTATAAGACCAAGCAGGGGGGTCTCCGTTTTGCTCACCTTCTGGACCGGGTCTCCAGGATAGACCCTGAGATGAGGATTCGCTTCACGTCTCCACACCCCAAGGATTTTCCTGATGAGGTGAGTGCCAGGAAGGTCCTGAGTGTGCTATGAATGGGCCTCAGGGACCTTGAGTCGGGCTCGGGGCACCCTGGGTGCATTGCTGTCTCCCCCTCTGGATCTGCTAACTCTTTGGAGTGGAAACAGGACTGATACTGAGTGGGAGGTGAGAACTCCTGTGGCATGGGAGGGCTCTGCCATGCTTTCATTGCAGGTGGATGGCTCTGGTAGGGATGGTGGTGCTCGCAGTCACAGTAGTATGGGGAGGTGGTGAGATGGGGCAGCAGCACATTGTAGCTTCAGATCTGAGTTCAGATCCTGGTTTCCCTATTTCTGCAGTAGTTGTGTGGCTCTTACCTTGCCATCTTCATCTGTAAGAAGGGGCTGATACCTCTTGCTTTGCGTTTTGTTGAATGGATAAAATGTGTCAAAAGTAGCTGCTCCATTGTCTGTTGTGGAGTAATTAGCTCATGCACAAAATTTTTTTTGGAAAGCTGTTTATTGTGGTAAAATGTCAATGTTTTGATACCCATTGCCACCTTTCTCCCCTGAATTGCTTGTCTTTTGACTGAGTTGTAAAAATTCTCTGTCATTAGACTTATTTGAAAGGCAGAGTGAGAGGAGGGATAGGTGGAAAGAGAGAGATCTTCCATCTGCCTGAGAGAAATATATATGTATTATATAAAGACACACACACACACACGCTGAGAGATGTCTTTCATCTGATGGTTCATTCTCTAGATGGCTGCAACAGCTAAACCTGGGCCAGTCTGAAGCTAGGCAAGTAGAACTCCATCCAGGTCTCCCACATGGGTGGCAGTCTTTACAAGCACATGAACTGGCTTTACTACCTTCCCAAGTGCATTAGCAGGAAGCTGGCTTGGAAGCAGAACAGCCAGGATTCAAACTGACACTCCTGTACGGGATGGTGATACTACGAGTGGAAGCTTAATCTGTATCACGTTGGCCCCTCCTTATGTGTTTTTGCTACAAATTTTTTGTAATGTATTTTCAGATAGTTCCCCCTAATTCTATTTCTTGATGATGTCTTTTAAAGTAGTTAACTTCTTTCAGCTAAGCTAGATAAAAGAAATTCTGTTTTTTTTTTTTTTTTTGCCTGCTGATTCTTATGTCAGCATTGCCTAGAAACAGTGCCATGACTCAAATCCGACCTCTTGATTTTTCCCCTTCAACTTCTTGAAATCAGAGATGTTTTTGGGCATCTCTGGGGTAGACAGAGCCAAAATGAGGGATTTGGGTAATTCATGTGTTTGCTTTAATTAACCTTTTAGTTACTTTCAGTTGGCCTTGGAAGGAAGTGAGAGTGGTTGTTTCTTCACATAAGATTGTTTGGTGAGACTTAGGTGACCTGCAATGTGCTCTGTTTAATCAGGTCCTGCAGTTGATTCACGAGAGAGACAACATCTGTAAACAGATCCACCTGCCAGCCCAGAGTGGAAGCAGCCGTGTGTTGGAGGCCATGCGGAGAGGGTCAGACTTGTTTCACAAGGCGGGGACATCCTGCAGTGCTGTGTTGCTAAGGGGGTAGCATAGTGTGTGACATGGGGCACCTGCTCAGTGAGTGTAACCGTGTGAGCAGAGACAGCAGAATGCGATGGGACACAGCCTGGTCGCTGAGTACTAAGACTGAGCTGGGCTTGGATGTTCACGTTCAGTTACTGCGTGGTGCACCCTGAGGTTTTACTCCTTTGGCTTGTAACATTAAGAAAGTCTTCTGGGTCCTGGAGGTTCAATGCAGGTTCAACCCCATTCCCAAGTGTTCTCAGGGTAAGGGAGGAGAGAAGGTGACCCAAGGCAGGGTGTTAAGCCAAGTAGAGAACTAGTGCTTTGCCTTGTTTTCCACAATGGCAAAGAGTTGTAAAGAAACTTTTCTGTTCAATCTGTCCTAATCAAAAAGGTGTTTGAACCAGATATTTGTACGATCTAGTTTAGAGGGGCTGGATAAAAGGGACTCTTTTGGTATTTGGCCGTGTGGATGAGAAGTGCTGGCTTGCAGGAATGTGGAGTTAAATTTTATAGCATTCCTTGAAAGAAGATGAGCTTATCTTGGTCTCTGCTGTCATTTATTGCAGATACTCTCGGGAAGCTTATGTGGACTTAGTTCACCATATCAGAGAGTCCATTCCAGGTACAATCAAAGAACAGATCTGGGGCTGACGCTGTTTCATGGTGGGTTAATCCTCTGCCAGCTGTGTTGGCATCCCAGAGAGGCATCAGTTCAAGTCCTGGCTGTCGGCTGCATCACTTTTGGTTCAGCTCCCAGCTCATGTGCTTGGGAAGGCAGCAAAAGATGGCCATGTGCTTGGGCCACTACGCTCACCTGGAAGACCTGGAAGATGCTCCTGGCTCTGGATTGGCTCAGCTCCAGCCATTACTACCATTTCTTTTCTGACTTTTCTGAGCTTGTGGGAGAGACCTTGTTTCTTATCATAAGTTGACAAAGCTATGATTTAAATTAGTTTTGATTTTGGGGCAGACAATGTCTTGGCTTTATAGCATCTTGTTAGTGTAAACTTTGTTTCTTCTTTTATTTTTTTAAAATTTGTTTTTTTTTTTCTTTTAATTTGAAAGGTAGAGTCACAGAGAGGGAGACAAAAAGAGGGCTTCCACGAGTTGACCACTCCCCAAATGACCACAATAGCCAGAGCTGGGCCTGTCCCGAGTCAGGAGCCAGGAGCTTCTTGTAGGTCTCCCACATGGGTGCAGGGGCCCCAACACTTGAGCTATCCTTCGCTGCTCTCCCAGAAACATTATGAGGGAGCTGGATTGAAAGTAGAGCATCCAGGACTCAACTTGATGTCCATATGGAATGCTGATACTGCAGGCTGTGGCTTTACGGATATACAACACCCACCCCCTCACTTTCCTAACAAAATTATTCTATAGTCTTTCAGTTTAGATTTGAAAGTATCTACATTTCCCCTGGATTTCAAATTATCGTAACTTGCATACTGCACAGTACTTAAAGTTTTGATGGGGCTGGATAGCGTGGCCCTGGGTTTACTGGCTTTGGATTGAGCACATTGTTAGGAGACTCTTCACTTCCCTGAGCTGCGGCTGCTTTATCTGTAAAGTGGCATTTTTAAAAAAAGATTTATTGATTTTTATTGGAAAGGCAGATATACAGAGAGGAGGAGAGAGGGAGAGGAAGGAAGATTTTCTGTCTGATGATTCACTCCCCAAGTGAGTGCAACGGCTGGTGCTGCGCCAATCTGAGCCAGGAGCCAGGAACTTCCTCCAGGTCTTCCAGACAGGTGCAGGGTCCCAAGGTTCTGGGCCATCCTCCACTGCTTTCCCAGGCCACAAGCAGGGAGCTGGATGAGAAGTGTAGCTTCCGGATTAGAACTGGCGCCCATATGGGATCCCGGTGCATTCAAGGTGAGGACTTTAGCTGCTAGGCCATTGTGCCGGGTCCTGTAAAGTGGCATTAATAGTATTCCACTCACCAGGCTGTTGGAATTAATAAATAGATGATAAAGTGTGGTGCTCGCGCAGAGATTGGTGAGTGCTCCTGCCTTCAGTAAACATCCTGTTAAATTGAATTCAAAGTATATGTTTTAGTCTATATATATACGATGCATCAGTAAAAATGAAAATATATTAGAAGTGTGTTATGCAGGCCCTGTAGCTTTTCAGTAGTGAAAACAGACCCGCTTTGAACGTCTGAGCTCCTGGTGAGAGTACTGTGGGCCGAGTGAGCAGCCAGGCTCTGGCACAGAGTTTAGACAAGCAGCCCATCCCCTCTTGCCTGGTAGTACCCATTGCTTTACCAGTGTGGGGGCTGAATAGCTGCAGTGAGGGCCTTGCCGTCACTCAGCCTCCCTCTGATCTGTAAGTTTGTGAAGCTTCTCTTAAAGGTAAGCGGCAGCAGCAGGAACTCCTCGTCCTTCGCTGTGCTTCCAGGTGTGAGCCTCAGCAGCGACTTCATCGCCGGCTTTTGCGGGGAGACGGAGGACGATCACCTGCAGACGGTGTCTCTGCTTCGGGAAGTTCAGTACAACATAGGCTTCCTGTTCGCCTACAGCATGAGGCAGGTGAGCCTGGGCTGAGGGGGACTGTCTTCTTTCCCGACCGGCTTGGGCCTGGTTACAGACCCTGGGCTGAAAGAGAAGGTGCCATCAGGGCAGCCCAGAAGCTGACCATCCCTCCTCCTCCTCTTTCTTCTTTTCTTCTTTCTCTCATTCCTCTTCCTCTTCTTCCTTTTTTGGGAAGGAATAAATAAATATTTATTTATTTGAAAAGCTGTAGCATAGAGCGGGTAGGAGAAACACCTGTGAAATGGGGATAACGTCGGCACCGCCCTCATGGGGTTGTTTTGAGGAATACACACACACACACAGCACTTGGTGCCTGCGAAAGTGCACAAGAAAGGTAAGTTGCTAGTCACAAGACAGAGTGGAGTAAAAGCTGCACACACTGTGGGCTTTCCCACCCGTTGCTGCAGATTGGTGTGCATGTCCAGACTGCCTTTAGTGTGCAGCTCTTCCTTTTAATCTGTTTTCTTGTCTAGTTTAGTTATTTTCCATGTTTTGAGTATGGGTGTGTGTGTGTGCACATGTGTGTATGTGTGTGTATGAAAATATATACACACTTAAGTTTTAAGTAATTTAAAGGTTTTTCAAGGATACATTTTCTCTTCTTTTGAACTAGATAATATATGCTTATATTATAAAATTCGAAAGTGGGCCAGGTGCCTAGTGGTTAGCATTCCTGCATCCCATAATGAAGGACCTGGGTTTTTTGTTTTTGTTTGTTTTGAGAGATAGAGTTACAGAGAGAAGGAGAGACAGAGAGAAAGATCTTTGACCCGCTGACTCATTCCCCGAATGGCTGCAGTGGCCAGAGCTGAGCTAGTCTGAAGCCAGGAGCTTCTTCCACGAGGGTGCAGAGACTTAAGGCTTTGGGCCATCCTCTGCTGTTTTCCAGGGTCACAATCAGGGAGCTGGATGGGAAGTGGGACAGCTGTGACACTTAACTGGTGCCCAGATGGGACGTTAGTGCTTGCAGGCAAAAGGTCGGCCAGTTGAGCCATTGTGCCAGCTGACTTTGTGGCTGAGCCATTGTGGCTCCTGACTTTGGATTGGTCCAACTCCAGCCATTGTGTTCACTGGGGAGTGGACTGGTAGGTGGGAGATTTCTCTGTGTTTCTCTCTCTCCACCTTTTTATCTCTATCTAACTGTGCCATTGCAAGAAAAATAAAAACCAAACCTTTTAAAATAAAAAATTGGCGTGTTTCTTGAGAATGGATCCTGTGATTTCTTGTTGACCCCCAACTTTCTTTTTTCCTTTAATAGAAGACACGAGCATTTCATAGACTCAAGGACGATGTTCCAGAAGAAGTAAAATTAAGGCGTTTGGAGGAACTGATCACGGTCTTCCGGGAAGAAGCCACAAAAGCCAACCAGAGCTTCGTGGGCCGAACCCAGCTGGTGCTGGTGGAAGGGGTGAGGCCAGATGTATATGTTTATGGATTGTGTTTTAAAACAGTGTATCTTTCCTTTATGTAGGCTTTTAAAGATTTTTTTTTATCCTATATGTGTTTTATGGGATTTTCATCTTATGTATTTGATTTTTACATTTTTAAATTGGGCGGAGCTATTAAGTGGAGTTGCATTTTCCTCTTGGTATCCATCCCTGTTGTACAGGTTTACAATTGAATTTTGTGTGTTTATCTTCAATCCCATGACCTTGCTGAACTCAATAGTTCTAGGAACAGATTTCCTGTCATTTCTGGGGGTTTTCTACATAGTTAATCATATCATTGTGTTTTTTTCCCTTCCTTCCTGATGTCCTGAGTTCTTTCATTATTTCCTTTCTGTTCAGAGAGCTTAAAGGAGCCACTTGGCAACAGATTCTCTGTTTTTTTCTTCTTCTTAGAATTTTCTCATTTTTTCATCATTCTTTCTTTTTTTTTTTTAAATTTATTTATTTGAAAGGTAGAATAATAGATAAGACAGAGAGATTGTCCAGCTTTTAATTCATTTCCTAAGTGCTCACAGTATCCAGGGCTGGGCCAGATCAAAGCCAGGAACCAGGAACTCCATTCCGGGTCTCCCCCACGGGTGCAGGGTCTCAAGGCTTTGGGCCGTCCTCGACTGTTTTCCCAGGCCACAAGCAGGGAACTGGATGTGAAGTGGAGCAGCCGGGACACGAACTGGAGCCTGTCATAAGGGATCCTGGCACATGCAAGATGAGGATTCAGCCACTGGGCTATTGTTCTGGTCTCCACAGATTTTTAAAAAATATTTATTTATTTAAGAGAGAGAGAGAAAGAGAGATCTTCATCCACTGATTCCCTCCTCAGCTGGGCACAGTTGTCAGTATTAGGCCAGGCTGAAGCCAGGAACCAGTGGCTTTACCCAGGTCTCATGTGGTTGTAGTTGCCCAAGCACTTGAGCCTCTGCTGCTTCCCCAGGCTGTTGGCAGGGAGCTGGATAAGGAACGGAGTAACTGGAACAGTGCAGGCAATGCTTTAATTTGCTAGGTTATAATGCTGGCACCAGCCACAGCTTTTCTAGTCCTTTGTCATTCTGCCCTCTGGGTTGATGATGACCGATGTGAGTGATGTGAGTACAAAGGTTACATGTTTGTAATGTGCCCCAGGCTCTATTCAGATTTTTTTCTAGTCAGTATTTTTCATGTTGTTCAGATTGGTAATATCTATTGTTTACTGATCTTTTTAGCCTTATAATTGTTTTACATTTAAAGATAATGATTTTGGGCCCGGCGCCGCGATGTAGCGGCTGAAGTCCTTGCCTTGAATGCACCGGGATCCCATTTGGGCGCCGATTGTAATCCCAGCAGCCCCGCTTCCCATCCAGCTCCCTGCTTGTGGCCTGGGAAAGCAGTTGAGGACGGGGCAAAGCTTTGGGACCCTGTAGCTGCGTGGGAGACCCGGAGGAAGTTCCTGCTTCCTGGCTCCGAATCGGTGGAGCACCAGCCATTGCAGTCACTTGGGGAGTGAATCATTGGACGGAAGATATTCCTCTCTTTCTGACTTTTCAATAAAAATAAATAAATCTTTAAAAAAAAAAAAGACAAGAAAGAGAAAACCCTCCCATGCTTCAAAAATAAATAAATAAATAAAGTTCATGATTTTTTAGCTGTCACAAGCACTGGGGAAAAGTTTTTCCCCTCCATGTTTCTGGAAGTAGAATTTATGTTTGTGGTTAGAAATAATTGTGCTGTTTGCCTTCAGTCTCTTTTGTTGCACTTTCCTGGCAATGTAGTGCATCTCGGAAGTTTGGGGTTCCTGTAAACTGTTGTGATCAAGTCCAGGAACCTTGCTCTCCAAGTGTGTTAAGAGGGAGCTGAATTGGAAATGGAGCAGCGGGAACTTCACCCAGTGCCTGTATGGCACAGTGCTGGCCCCTTGTTTTCGTTTTAGCTTCTATTCCTTTCTTTACTGTGTTCTTGTTTACCTTGGAAGCGTTTTCACATTTAAGGCTCCTCCTAATAGCTGTTTTAATGTTTGTGTATGCTAATGTCATTCTTGCTAGCCTTTCTTGGTCTGTTTCTACATTTAGTAATTTTCCATCAAATGCTGAACAATCTAACTGTCACTTTCGATTGTTTGGATTCTGTTATTGAACTTTGGCTGCTGACTATCTGGAGGAGCCAGTGGGGACTCTCTGGTTGGGGGTCCCAGGTTCCCAGCCCCATGTTTGACAGTTCCCCTGTTCCTCTCTCTGCCTGAACTCATGGGTTTTACTCTACACACGCACATGCTCAGTCAAGGTTCAGGGGACCTCCCACGTGTGTCCCTAGAGTTCTCTTTCTGCTTAGCTCCCTCATTGGACTTGGCCTCATGGTTTCTAGCTGAGTTGAGCTCCCCTTTGAAGGCTGACTCCTCTCCCGCAACAGAGAGCGCCCACGCTCAGCCTGAGTGCTCTGATCTGGTGGCGGCTTCTAGCAGGAAGCAGTACTGGCGGGATGGAAGGGACGACGCCCTTCCTTTGTTTCCCTCCTGTCACCCACCAGGCTTACACAGTCTGTTGTTTCAAGTCTGAAAACAGTCATTTCAAGCATTCTGCCCAACTTCTGGGTTATTTAAGGCTGGAGGGCAAACTTGGTTCTTGTCACTTTATTATTGCTGGAAGAGAAAAACATTTTTATAGCCTAAAAGTTAATCCTACAGACGTGGTTCTGTTATCTTCTGGCCCCATGTTGTAGTGGAGACTGGCTTCAGGTTTGCTTATTTGAGAGGTAAAGTCACCCAGGTAGGACGATCACACAGTGTTCCTGAGTGACCACTGCAAGGCTGTGTACAGTGGAAGTTGGTTAGCCAAGTACGTCGCCCACAGTCCCTGGCTCTCCGCTTGTTGGAGGTTCTTTCCTACAGAAAGCAGGTCTGCACATACTCGCTGACCAATGCAGTCATTAAAACACAGCAGCAGAACTTGATGCAAAGTTTCTGGTGTATGCTGTGCACTGTCCTCGCTGGTGGAGCAGCCATGAATGCAGCCCTGATTCTCAGTAAAGGAGTGCTGTGTGGCTGAGACCTGTGGCGATGTGAGATAGAAGGTGCTTCATCTGCCCTTCAGGAAGTTATGACTGTGACAGACTCAGAATTCCCATCTCTTCTTTGTGTAGTTCAGCAAGCGCTCTACCAGTGACCTGTGTGGCCGGAATGATGGGAACCTGAAGGTGATCTTTGCTGATGTGGAGATGGAGGATGTTGCCAGCCCTGGGCTCAAGGTCAGAGCCCAGCCTGGGGATTACGTGCTGGTGAAGGTAAGGTGTTGTTTTGGGCTTTCGACTTGCACTGTGAAATGAGTGTTGGTTTGCATAATTTGTGGGAATAATGATTTTTTTTTCCTAGAGAAAGTTTTTTAGTAAAAGGAAAAAAAAAAATTGACACTGGAAGAGCAGCTTAGATTGAATCTAATACTACTTCTTACTAATAGCTTCTTGGTTGTCTTTTCTGTTGCCCTGGAAGAGAGGTGTGTGTGTGTAAATTGAGGGAGATGGTGTAGACAGCAGCAGCTGGTTTCCTGCTGCAGAGAGGTCTGGAAGTGGCAATGAATTTGAGTGAGCTGGGAGTGGACACCGCTCAAGATGAGCTTTCCCTGTGCTGTGGCTTCGGGGCCCTTGCCTGTGCTGGCAGAGCTGGGCAGTTGGTGGCGGGAATTTCCCCACCTTCCTCTCCTTGGCCTGGGGACACCCTGCCTATTTTTGGTCCTTCCTCTTCTTCCCTTCTTACTCAGGTGTGCTGCTGCCGCTTCTGTTGGTTCTCGTGCCTACATTGCCCTGGAACCAGAGGCTGTGGGATGCCTACTGTGTCAGCCTGAGCCTGGGCGCTGGAGCACCTGCAGAAGGGAGTCGTTTGGAGCGTGTGGCTCCTCCGTGGCTTGGCTGGGCATGCGTCCTCCTTCCTTATCCTGCTTTTAGCCTTGCTCTGGTTTGGGTCTCCATCTTGGGTCACAGGAACCATGGCCCACCACTTAATAGGGCAGGGAGGCTCACAGCTCTGGTGAGTTAGCTCTGTGAACTGGCCTGTAAGTTGGACCCCACTCAGACATTCCTTTCCTGCATGTCCTCCCATGTTTAACAGGCTGAAACTTCCAGTGCCACCAGTTTGCTGATTGGAGACTTGGAGGTCCCATTCCCTTTGCCCTTGTCTCGGCAGGGGATTGTCTGACTTAAACACTTTCCAGGCGTTTCCCAGGGGAAGTGATCCCTGGCAGCCAGCAGTGGGAGTCGGCTGAAAAAAGTTCTTTAGGAACTTCTTTGTTTGTTCATTCTTTCTCCTCGCCCCTCCTCCCTTCCCATCCCATCTTTCTTTCTTTTTATGCACTACCTTGTTTTCTCTATCTTTTAGTGACATTTTGCTTCTTTGAGTTTTAGTTGCTTTTCAGAATGTACTTCCTCTACTCTTTCTTCTAGCTACAGGTTACTTGAAAAGGTGGGCTGGGTTGTAGTGTGAGTGTGGTGTTCATTTATAAAATGGAAGAATTCTGCTTGTCTGGAAAGAGAGGGGTGACCCCATGTTACTTGAGATGCTTCTGTTCCCAAGTGACTTGAACCCCTCAGGTGGGCTTCATGGAAGAGGAAGGACGTGTGTGCCAGGGCATGCTGCTCTTTCTGCCCCTGCTCCTCTCATGCTCGTCCACCCAGTGTCTTTGCTTCCTTGTAGACTGTGCCCTCACAAGTGGCAAGTGGCACTGTCTTACTCTACTTTCTCTTGGCATGTTCTCTTCTGCTTCTGCTGAGTACTGCACCTTGCCAGATTGCGAGAAGTGGTTTTTTTTTTTAAGATACACCGCCCCATATATATATATATGTATATATTATATATATTATATATATATAGTTTTAAATAGTTACAGAGATGAGAGGAGGGAGAAAGAGAGATTGATTTTCTGTCTACTGGTTCACTAACCAAATGGCTGCAACAGCCAGGATGGACCAGGCTGAAACAAGAAGTTCATCCAAGTCTCCCATGTGGCTTCAGGGGTTGAGGATTTGGACTAGCCCACTGTTGTTCCAGGTTCATAAATTAGCAAGGAGTTGGATCAGCAAGGAGCAGGTGGGACTCAAGCTAGCATCCATATGGGATGCTAGCATTGCAGGTGGTAGCTGAACCTGTTTTGTCATAATGCTGGCCCCCTACCCTTTCAGATTAAAAAAAAAAACATCTATCATATCTTTTCTTAAACAAACAAACAAAACTGACTTCTGTCACTGAAGAGGGAGGGAAGAGGTGTTGGGGATGTGGTCTCTGCCACATGAGCCAGCTGCACTTATTTGGAATGTACAATCATAATGTCTAAATGAGCACATGGCAGGCCCTGGGATCCTGATCCGACTGTTTCCCCAGGAACTTGACTTTAATCTCCCCTCTCCTGGGCAGTCCTTTGTCTTGGCTGGCATCATTGCCTCCACAGAGAAAATACACACACTCAGATGAAGTCTCAGGGGTCCCACCTGCTCCTCACACCTGTGCCCAGGCGGTCACCTGTGCAGGCTGCCATCTGTGCTCCGGGAACCTGTCGGTTCTGTCTGCACCCTCCGGTGCCAGAGCTGTCCTCTGTGTCCTAACTGCCCTTCCTGTCCTCTCCTGAAGTTTGTATTTTTCTCTTTTCCCTCTTGGATCTGTGGAAAACTTTTTCACACTTCCCTTCTTTTCAAGCCTCCCCCATCTCTGAAAATGGCACCATGTAGTTGTTTAATCCCCCCCACAGGTGCTTGCTCTCCTGTCCTCCACCGCCAGCAGTCTGTCTTGGTGCAGCCTGTGGATGTGTCTTGGACCCATCCCTTCCATTCTGTCTCTAAGCCACCACCGTTTCTGGCTGGCAGATCGCAGCTGCTTCCTCCCTGCTCTTTGGCATCTGTGTTTCTCAAATGAGTTGTTACATTGACATTTATCATCAGTGCAGAGAAAGCGAGTGCCCTGACAGATGATCACAGAGTGAGCCAATCAGCCAGATAAGGGAATGGGATAGAACACCGTCAAGGCCCCAGAAATCCTTTTGTGTCCTCCCCTGACCTAATTTCAAGGCTAACTCCTCTCCTGACTTGAACCTCATGGTTTAGTTTTGCACGTTTCCATCCCCCCCACCCCAAGCCTGCTACCTGATGAGTGTTGCTTGTGGCAAGTTAGAACCATATGGTGTACAGTTTTGTGTGCTTTCCTCCTTTCTCTGAACTCTGTGTTGTGTAGCTCCTTTGATCACATTTGCCCAGTTTAGGAAAATACCATGATTTGTGTGAGCATTCTGCCATCCTAGCTGTTTCGGTTGTTCCAAGCATACAGCCGTTGTGCTCTGAGAAGTCACACGTATGTATTTTTTTGCACGTGGCGCTATTTGTTGCTCTTGGGTCTGTAGCTTGGCAGTGTTGGTTCTTGGCGTGTGTGTAATGGAAGAGCTGAGGGGTGCCTCCAACAGTGGTGCTGGGGGATCCATATTTTCAGATCCTCTACTTTCATTTGCATCCCCCTGTAGTCTGGACTCCTCAGTAGGCAGGTTCCCATGCCTCTGCTTAGGCCTCCAGCAGCTTCTCATTGGAGATAGCCTGCACTACAGGGAGCCCAGGGCATCTGTCATCTGGCTGCCCCAATCGTGGCCTAGCTTCACATCCCTGCCCTCTTTAGACCTCACCTGTCACCCTGCAGAGGAGCCTTGCCCTGACAAGCTGGCTCTGAAGCAGTCACTGTGTACTAATATTAACCCCTTCCTCTCTATGGGACTTCTCAGCCTGTGATCTGTGTATGTATTCTGAAAGCTCTGTTGAGGACAGGGTGACTAGTCAGTTTTGTTAATCTCTGCATCTCTGGTGCCTCGGTAAGACCTGTGCTTCATAAGCACTCAACACATATTGTAGATGTGTGGCTTTATGTTCATGGTGTGACATGGGACCTCTGGTAATTTTGGGTCACATCCGTTGACTTCAGTTAGAAAGGGAAGAGAATTTTTGTCCACAAATCTGGGCCAGAAGTGTTTCAAGGAAGGCTTTGATTTGCCCTGCCTGGATCATGGTTCATATTAGGGTTAGGCGGGCAGGGGCTGTGATGGGCATGTCACACCTGGGCTGCAAGCTCTAGGGCTGGGGCGTGCAGGTGGCATCTCCCCGGGGAAGAAGGACACGTGACTGTGTGGGGCCGACCTGCCTCAGGCTTCTTGACTGGGGCATTGCTCTTTCGTTGGAGGTCTTTCTTCCTTGCAGGACTGGGGCACTCAGGAACCATGCAGTTCCTGACTCCTCCTCTGCAGTCTTGGTTACTGGACCCCCTCTGATTGGCTTTTTTCCAGATCTCCTCTGCCAGCTCTCAGACACTGAAGGGCCACGCCCTCTGCAGGACCACTCTGCAGGACTCCTCAGCACAGCTGACTGCATGGGTGCACCCGGATGAGGCAGAGAACTGTGGCTGTCGCTGACTGAGGAGGTAACAGGGCCTTGGGGCCACGCTGCGAGTGCAGGAGCAACTTCATGTCAAACACATCTCCTGACTGCTACATGGACAGCTCTTTTGATTATTAAAAGGAAATGATCCTTTGTCTCCACTTTTACTTCATTATCACCCTGGATGCCGCTCTTGGGGTTTCCCTGCTGCATCGCTGCCATGGACACTGCCGACTTGTCTGCTTGTCTCCCCTGGATCCTGGGAGGCCACCAGTGAGGATGGGATGGTGGGCAGAACCCTTTGCTCTGGGTCTTTTTAATGTTTTCCTTTGAGGCTTTCGACTTAGTTGCCCATCACATTTTATTCCATGATTTGAAAGTTGTAGAGTTACAGGGAGAGGGGGAGAAAGAGAGAAAACTCTTTCATCTGCGGGTGTACTTCTCAAATGGCTGCAGTAGCCAGAGCCAGGATGGTCCCAGCCAGCACTCAGAAGCTTCTTCTGGGTCTCCCATGTGGGTGCAGGGGACCAGGCATTTGGGTCAGAGGCCTTTAGCAGGGAGCTGAACTGGCAGTAGAGCAACTGGACATCAAACCATTGCCCAGTGGGATGCTGGTACTACAGGTGGAGACTTAGCTTGCTCTGCCACGGTGCTGGCCCCTCATATTTATTTGAAGCATTTTGTTACATTCAGGAACTATGTTGTGCTTCAGAATCATCTTTTATCTTTCTTCTTTCATCCCAGAATGAGTCATTTCTCAGTGGATCCTTTTAGATGATTTTTGTAAAGAATAGCATTAATAGATAGTGATAGTATTAGATGGAAGGCTAATAGTATTTGGCATAGTAGTTGAGGTGGCCCTGGGGTGTCCATAACCTTTACCCACGTGCCAGAATTGGAGTTCTGGTTAAGCTTCCAACTCTAGCTGCTTGCCAGTGCTCACCCCGGGGAGTAGCAGGTGGGGGCTCAGCTGCATGACTCCTTGCCATCCACATGGGGACCCTGATTGAGTTTCTGGTTCCTGGCTTTCTTGGCCTGGTCCAGTCCCTACGGATATTTGGAATTGAACTAGCAGATAGGAAATTTCTCTGTCTCTACCTTTCAAATAACTGAAAATTCTTAAAAAAAAAAACAAAAACAAAAACAAAAAACCAACCAACAGCTAGATGCCAGGACTACTTGCAGCTTCTGTGAGTTAGAAGGTTTTTTTGTTTTTTAAATAGAAGTGAAATAACTGGGCCCAGAGTGGTGGCCTAGAGGCTAAAGTCTTTGCCTTGAATGTGCTGGGATCTCATATGGGCACCAGTTCTAATCCTGGTGGCCTCACTTCCCATTCAGCTCCCTGCTTGTGGCCTGGGAAAGCAGTTGAGGATGGCCCAAAGCCTTGGGACCCTGCACCCACGTGGGAGACCTGGAGGAAGTTCCTGGCTCCTTGCTTCAGATCGGCGCAGCACTGGCCATTGTGTTCACTTGGGGAGTGAATCATCAGATGGAAGATCTTCCTCTCTGTCTCTCCTCCTCTCTGTATATCTGACTTTACAATGGAAATAAATAAAAAATCTTAAAAAAAAGTAGAAGTGAAATTCATATGACATAAAATGAATAATTTTGTGTCCAGAGCAGTAGCCTAGCAGCTAACATCATCCCCTTGCATGCATTGGGATCCCATATGGGTGCTGGTTCATATTCTAGCTGCTCCACTTCCTTTCCAGCTCCCTGCTTATGGCCTGGGAAAGCAGGAGAGGATAGGACAGCCCAAAGCCTTGGGACCTTGCACCTATGTGGGAGACCTGGAAGAAGCTCTTGGCTCCTGGTCTTGGGTCAGCTCAGCTCTGGCCATTGTGGCTACTTGGGGAGTGAATCAGTAGATGGAAAATCTTTCTCTCTGTCTCTCCTTCTCTCTGTAAATCTGACTTTTCAATAAAAATAAATGAATCTTAAAAAATTTTTTTACTTAAAAGATTACGGAGAGAGAGAGAGATCTTCCATCTGCTTATTCACTCCCCAAATGGCCACAACCACCTGTGCTGGGCCAGGCCGAAGCCTGGAGTTAGGAGCATCTTCTAGGTCTCCCATGGGGGTGCAGGGCCCCAAAGACTTGAGTCATCTTCTGCTTTCCCTAATATAGTAACAGGGAGCTGGATAGGAAGTGGAACAGCCAGGATTCAAACAGATCCCCATATGGGATGCCAGCACTGTAGGTGGCGGCTTAACGTGCTGTTCCACAGGGCCAGCCCCACTGGCTTTCATTTTACGGTGCACTGCTCCCTGCTGTAAGGCTAGCTCAGTCTTTGGCCCTCTGGTCTGGTCTGTGTGTCCAGAATTTGAGCTGTTTTAATACACGGGGGAGGTGTATTATTGGGACACTGGCCGCAGGCATGGGGAGAGACAGCAGTTGGATTCCCAGCATTCCTGTTGTCTTTTCTGCATGCTCTGATTTGCTGGTCTGCAGCGACTGACTGCCCTTGCTGCTCACAGCTGCACAGTCGAACCTGTAGTGCCTGGTGTGGGACCTGGATCATTTATTGCCTAGTTTGTGATATTACAAATCTGCTTTTACCTGCTGTGTTCCATCCAGCTTCTGTGCCTTTCATTGCTGAACATGGGAGTTGGATTCTAGACCCTGTGTGGTTTGCACATAGGAGCTGGCCTTGTGGTATGGAGGGTTAAGCCATTACTTGCAGTGCCAGCCTTCCAAATTGGATCAGTAATTGAAGTCTTGGTTGTTCTACCTTCAGTTCAGCTCCCTGCTAATGTACGTGTGAAAGCAGGAGCAGGAGGTCCAAGTCCTTGGGTCCCTGCCACCAACATGGGAGACCTGAGTGGAGTTCTTGCTCCTGGCTTCAGCCTGGCCCAGTCCTCGCTGTTGTGGCCATTTGTGGGGGTGAACCAATAGATGGAAGATCTCTCTGTTACAATCTCTCTCCCTTTTGAAGAAATAAAGCATCATTTAGAGTTGAAGCAGTAAGAGGAGAAACACATTGCTGTGATGACCCCAGGACCTGGCACACTAGGTAAGTCCATAGTGGGACCATAGTAGGTGCTGTTACCTCATCATTCACGTTGTGGATTTTTATATCCAAAACAAGGAATTCTTTGACTAGGCGTAAGTACTTGAAGAAACTTCTATTTATGGGAACTGAAGACAAGCGAGACAAGTTTTGCCTGAAGAAGATTCATTTATTAAAGAACTGATTACAGAAATACCAACATTCTTGATGTTTTGCCTGTCTGGACTTGTTAAACTTGTAAAGGATAGTTGACATTCTAAGAATGTTGGCTCTACTTGGTTCCCTAATCATCAGGGTGTCTTGTGTATAGTATTTCACAGGGGTTGTTTACTTTCATTCTGGAACATTGCCTGGCTCTCCTTGTGCTGGGTTTAGTTTGCCGCCTGAAGATGATTCTGCAGGGAGACAGAAGACAATTAGTTAGGCGCAGTCAAGGGCAGCTGGCTGCAGGCACTGTCTGGGTCAACCAAATGCGCTCCGCCTCCCTGGGGTAGTGCTGGCATGGGGCATGGGGCAAGTGAGGCCAGTGGGAGCCCCAGAGGCTATTTCTGAGTGACTGTTGTTTGAACTGTTAGGGAAGGAGTCAGGCAGCAAAGCCCTTGGTGCCTGGAGCATTCCATGCAGGGCCTCGTTGAACCTTTCCAGGAAGAGCAGAGCAAAATGAAAGATTCTTGGGTCATTGTTGACCCTTGAAGCAGGCCACTCACTGCTGCTGGACACCGTGCCTGGGTGCCAGCTCCTTTCATTATTATTGTGATTGTTGGAAGTGGCTTTGGCTGGACTTGGTGTCATTTGTAACTGCCATGCAACTGATATTCTATCTGTTCTAACCTCTTGGTTCAAGGCTGACTTGAGGGAGGTAGGGGTTACATAGTGGGCTCCAGGCTGCTCAGGGCTGTGGAGTGCTGGAGCTGGAGGTAGTGAACCAGTGTCTGCTGATGTTAGCACACTGCACCCTCCACTCATGGAGTGGCCACGAAACACATGGAAACCTGGAGGTCATGTAAAGCAAGAAGGCACACCCTTCTTGAAGTTCAAGCCCAGATGAAAGACATTGGCAACTCCTCAGGCAGATTACATGGTCACTGAGTGGAGCTCTGTAACTTCCTGGGTCTCTTGAGGTGGCTGGAATGCTCTTCACTACGCCATGTGGTTCCCTCTTGCAACCTAACTACCCCTGCACCTCACAATGCGTTCTTAGCTTCCCTAGCCTCATCCACACCTACTGCTTTCACTTGTGACAAAATTAAATAAAAATTCCCATTGTTTTAGCTGTTTTATAGGAAGCACACCACCCGTCAAATATTCTCTGGGTTCAGGGCTAGAGACACAGGCAGAAAAGTCATCTGAGTAGGGATAGGGAATCCCCAGCAAGGTGGGGAGGTGGTGGAGATGGGCAGACCCAGTGATTTCTATAAAGATCCCTGCTGTGTGTTCAGGTAAGTGTGAGAATCCTTCAGGGGACAGTGTCACAGCTCATTGGTCATCTGTGATCTCACTGTTTCAGGCTGGGTTTTCTCGTGATTAGGAGGGTCAGGCCGATGGGTCTGCCTGGGCTGGAGTGGGGAGATTGAACTTGGAGCTTATCAGGCATTCAGAGCAGACTGTGATATTCCCCCTGGCCCCATTCAGTCCTCCAAAGATTCAAGTCCAGGGCTTTGGTGCAGGAGGGAGATCCTTGTGCTTATCTCTTACCATTTGAATCACGTTAACCTTGGCGTTGTTTAGAGGGTTGGAAGTTGCTCCTGCTGGTACATTCCAGTTTTTCAAAGATTCTGAAATAAAGAAGGGACCATCTGAAGGCAGGAGTTGAGGGAGACAGTAAGTGGATTGGTTGTGTAGCCAGTCCACTGGAGGGAGGCAGTGGACAGTTTTAGGAGAAATCTGACTGTTGCCTGTTCCATGAGACCTGTGTATCCCCCGCCTGGGGGAGTTAAGGAAGACACGGCTTTGGAACCAGGAGACACTTGGCTAGAGTTCTAGGCTAAGCGAGAGGTTGGCTGTCTGTACTCCCCTCCCTAGGCACCCTGTACGAGGTGGCCATTGTGAGCCCCGTTGGGTGCAGGTGACTGTTGTCCTTGTTGATCATGAGTTGTGACCTCAGCACCTGAGTTTCTGAGACCATCCCCCCCCTCCAAACAGTGTCTGACTGGGTGACTGGGTCTGTTTCCTGCAGATGGCATGACTTGGATGGGAAAGTGGAGTTGGCTTTCTTTAGGAGCTTAGAAGAGACATTCTGATTTGGTTTTCATTTCTTTTCTTTTAGAAATGCTGTTGTCTAAAAGGCAGGTGCCTGTGACCTGGCTGGCAATGAGTGGTCTTGTGCATAGCAATGCTGAGGCTTCTGCAGGGTGGCCCACTCCCTAGTGCCTGCCCACCCACCTCCCCCCACCATGACACTGACTCCTGTAGGGGTTCAGGTGATTGCTTGCACATACCAACAAGGACAGACCATAACTTCTTTTCAAGTCCAGTCATCACTTCTTGCACCTCGTCCTTCTGTAAGAGATGGGAAAAGCCTTTTCAGCTATGCCTTCCAGTAGCCACTGCACCAAGTGGCACAGCTGGGGAATGCAGCCCTTGAGCCTACTACCCCTAGGAGGTTTCTATAACAAAGTCTATTGCTAGACAAGGCCGGTAGGGAAGTGGGCCTCATCCATTGCCTGTGCTCCTGTATCTATGGGGCCTTTGCCAAGACTTCCTTAGGTTTTGCTGTCTCAAGTGGCTCCTTGAACAGAAGTTCACTGGATTCCTATTATGTGTGTGACACTGCATTAGGGGCAGTGGCATAGCCCGCTGGCCTTGTGGCCGGATGCTGCTGCTCCCTGTGTTAGATTTGTGGCCCTCCCTATAGGTGCTCTCTTCCATCCTCTCCTGAATGCTCCAAAATATTCCAAAGAATAGCCAAAGGGCCCTGCCCTCGCCTTTCCGCCTCCCAGGCTCTCTGCTCAGCCACATGCTTGTCACATAGAACATGCTTGCTCCATGGAAACCAGGCTGCCAAACACTATTAGAATTGCCATGGCCACAGGAAGTGGCTGTTTCTGAGAAGTTCCTGGGAGTGGAGTTACCTTAGATTCTAGGTCACCTAGTCACTTTTCCAGAGCATCCCCAGGCCTGCTGGAGTCTGGCTTCCTGGATACCACCAAGCACAGATTCCAGGTCCTACTCAGGTCACTGAATGTGTAACTCTGCCGTGAGCTTGGGCAGTTCCCCAAGAGAGCAGCAGGCTTTGGGACTGCAGTCCTGTTCCACGCTGTGCCTGGGTTGTGGCCTGCACACCCTTCTTTCTGGAGTCCCTGTGTCACCAAGCACCTGGCATTAACATCATTCTTCACCTATCAAAGATAAGCAAACCAGCTTACCTTCTCAGGTGGTGTCACGCTGTGATCAGATCTGTGCAGAAAGAAAGTAAAAACAGCTTTTAGGTTCACAGAAAAAGACATTCTCCGTCACAGAGCTACAGTCTTAGCTCGGCAGCTCCTTATGTCAGTCAAATGGTTATAGTTGGACCCACCCAGGGCAAATCTAAGGCAGTGTGAGCATTTCAGCCTCTGAAACATTTCCGCAACACCTCCCAGGAGCTGGATGCGGTATTGAGTTCATGTACTCAGTATTGGCGTCCCACTGTTCCTCACAGGGGCAGTGATGTCACTGCACAGTCGTACACAGTACCTCACAAGTTTAAGCTCTGTCGTCACCTTGTCTTTTGAGATCTTGCTGTCATACCAGATGACTAAGACCTGAGGGAACACAGAAGGAGTGTGGATGATGCACAGTGTCTTGGCTTGCCATTCAACCACATGTCACATCATGACACAGCTCATGGTGTCCCAGGCTGGGCACCAGAGTGACACCTGCCCGACCTTGCCCTCCCAGGCCTACTTGCCTGTTCTCACCACTCACCGATTCCCCACTGGCGTAGCTCTCGCCGTCCTTCTTTATACTGCTCCGGTAGGTGACCTGGACCGTGTCATTATTTTTGTATATGTGGCTCATTTTGGTGATGCTCGCCTGCAGGTTGTTGGCCTGTTGTGTCGAGAAAAGGCTGGGGTTAGTGTTGGATAGCAAGTGGGACTGCCGAGGTTATACCCAGGGGCCCTTGGGCGTGGTGCCCATCTTTCAGTGTTTATCGGTCCTTGAGTCTGAGCTGGACACAGAGCTGGTCCTGTTTGAAGCCTGTGTGCTCTGTTCAGGGATTTAGGGCCAGCATGTGCAGAGCGCAGCATGCAGAAAGCCATGTTTATTCATGTCACTTGCTTCTATGAGGGTTAGGCATCAGAGGGGAACCTTGGTGCCGGTAACTGTATTGCTTGCTCTGGCTGAGGTCATTGGTACATTCATTGCCTTATTCGGGCTGTCTGTAAATTGGGGGCAAGAACACCACTATCCTTGGGGCATCATTTGATTGTGTGAAGACTCTTGGCTGTGAATCTGGCAGATGGATGACGCTCAGGCTACCTCTGACCTCCCATGGCCCTATGTCTTACTACTCCTCCCCCCCCTTACTACCACTCAGAGACCTGTGTTGCCATCTGTTGATTTATTTCTGAAGGGCATCCAGAGCCCACTGGCACGTCTACCTCAGGAAGCCCACAGAGGGCAGTGCAGGCCCTGTGGTCCACACTTACCTGGAAGGTGCTCTGCTTGGTGATATGGGTCTCCATTGCATCGAGCAGTGTGTGGGACAGGGTCAGAGAAATGTTGGCGTTCTTGGGATGGGGCGGGAGGAGTCTTCCAGGAACAGGGCCCACATTCTTACCAAAGAGGAACTCCGCCTGGGGAGAGAGAAAGCAGCAGAACCCAGTCATCATGGGAGACTGATACCAGCTTCCTGGCCTTGGAGGTTGAACTGAGAAGGTGCAGGGTGAGGTATGTAAGTGCTGTCCTGGGATGGGTGTGAGTGTCCCTAGCAGGTGACCTCCCAGCTTCCATGCTGAGTGACCATAGACAGTGGTGGCGTTCAGGGCCTGCTGAGCAGGAGTGTGTGTGTGTGTAGGAGCTGCCGCCGTGTGTAGGTTCTGTGTAGTGTGGCCCAGGGTGCCAGACTGCTCATTTTCCCTGGGAAGCCCCAGTCCTGGCTGTCCGGGTGACTTTTTCACTTTGCGTGGCTCACGGTCTTTCCTGCTCCTCCAGCCCTGAAGGCCCCTGCTCCATCCGAATTCTGCCGTGCCAAAATATAGCTTGTCAGGAGGTCACCTCTCGGGTACTCAGCCTTCCCTCCACTCACAAAGTCCTTCTCATTCACACTCCTTCCCCTCTCTGCTAATGATACACAAGCCCCACATGACAGGAGAGTTGGAAGACATAGAGATGCGAGAGAACCCAGACCACAGCAACCCCTGTCTTTGTGCATGTTTCCATGGCTCATCTAGATACATTTGGGCAACCTCACCCTTGCCTGTGTGAGCATCTCCCATAGCGCTATAGGCTGTAAATGAGGGGTCATTCTTGAACTTGGCTTTGTTATTTCCTGTTTGCATGTTTATACATTTTCCTGCAGCGTCTATACCTGTGCTGGACAGACACTGGTGGCTATGATGCAGTGGTCACCACAGGAGTGCCTCTGAGGGCATCATATGCTGTATGGAAGTAGAGCAGAACATGCAGCTGACCCCAGGAGATGCTGGGAGTGTGAGGGAAACCCTTAGGAAAAGCTGCAGAGGTCCCAGAGGGTGGGCAGCTGGACTGTGTGGCCATTCAAATCATGCCATTTCAGGGATGCCAGCGGCCCCTGGCTCAGAAGTCATGTGCAGGGACGAGAACACTTACACAGTAGAAGACCGAGAGACCTTCGGGGGAGAAGCGGGTCATCTTCACATGGTACTGGAACAGGCCAGTAGCTGCAGGGGTAGGGGGAGGAGAGAGATGGAGACAATGCAGTGAGGTGCTGCTGGCTGCTGTGCCTGGTGCAAGCAACCCCATGCTATCCTGCCCCATGGGTCAACCGCATCTCCACATCCCACGCAAAAAGCAAGTGCCCTCAACTGACTTTGCAAAGGTCTGGAAGGAGGAATCTGGTCCTTCCTGGGAAGCAGAGGGCTTACAAGGTTCATCCTCTGCCTGGAGGCTTGGAGGTGTCCCTGTCCCCTGTTGCAGCTGTCTTGGTGGCTGCCTGGGGACATGGAGGGACTGCCTGATTGCAGACTGCCAGGGGTGAAAGAGCTTGGCAGTGGTCCCTCACTCAGGCTTCATGGTGGGGTGCACATGCTTTGCAACCCTATAGGACTGGGTAACCTTGTGGAGACTGCTGAGAGCTCCCTGCCTGTTCATCTCCTGTGAGCCGTGGAAGTGGCCTGAGGAAGATGGCGATGGGTAGCATTTTCCACCCCGAGGATGCCTGAGGAAGGCTGCAGGGGCTATGAGGAGTCAAGCTGTGGTTTGTCACCCATGGGGCTCCTTTAAGGGGTCTGGGCCCTCCGTCTATGATGCAGGCAGCCCTGGGGTTGGTTGGTACTCACAGTTTTTGCAGTCGTTGAAACCACTGAGCACAATGTCGCAGGACTCTGCTTCTTCCGCCTGGGGAGTTGCCATCGCTCAGCTTGACCGAGCACACCCCCTCCCCGCCTCCTGGTGGCCCCGTCCTCCCTCCCATTTCTCTTTCCCACTCTCTTTCATCTTTCTCTTTGGATGCTGTCCCTCTTCCAGCCTGAGGCATTGTCTGACCTTTTGGGGGTTCTGCTGGGGTTCAGAGGGCAGCAGGTCCCTGGGATTAGGACTGCTACCAGCCCAGGGCCTTGCTGGGAAGGCGTCCCTTTCCCCTCCCTCACCCTGCTTTCCTGGGACTTACGTTCTTGTTCAATTCCACTGACAGTAGTTTAGCAACTAGGCTGTCCAGAGGCAGGGGCAAAGACACAGGCAAGACATCTGTGACCCTGAGAAAAACAAGGGCAAGGAGTGCATGACTCTTGTGTTTCTAGACTTACCCACCGTGGAAGAAGCAGCCACTCCTTGGAGGAGGATGGCAGGACACCTGGAGACACATTCCCACACACGGGGTGTTTGGGCCTGTCATGCCACCCCGAGAGTCCATGTTTCGGAGGTGTGTGCAGTCAAATTGGCCAGTGACCTTCATCACTGTAGGTGGGTACAGACACTAAGACCCAAGTCCAGGACCAGGTACATTATGGTGCCACTTGGTAAAGGTGTACTCAGGGAATGACCACACACGAGGCTGGCTGCATGGCTGAACCGTGTTCTGACTACTTTCTGTACGCCAACCAGAATGCAGAAAGGCTGGTGGGAGCTCCCCTCGCTCCTGTGTGAGCACACAAATACACATTTACACAGGTGCACACAAAGTATTCCTGGCAAAAACAGGAGGCCTATTTTGGTCCACATCCGGTGAGAATCAGTGGCCAGAGGGCTGGCCAGGCTGTGAGGGCCTTTGTGGGGCCTGGCCAGCCCTCCAGGTGAATGTGCTCCTTATACAGAAAAATAGGACAGATAACCGTGGTGCAGCAAGCAGGCAGAGCCCAGGGTGCAAGAGAGATGGCTGCCCCCAGACACAGTGCTGCTCTCCGGGCCAAGACTCCACCTTCAGCCTTGGGCTCTGCGTGCTGCTGGTTCATAGCCTTTGCATCGGGCAGTTGTCCCTGGGGCTGGCCCAGGCTGGAGGAACAAGAGAGTTCTAACACAGAATGGTTAAAGAGGAGATAAGTGGTCTCACGTACGTTTCCACAACTTGAATGGTCACTTTGTTGACCTGGATGTTTTGGCTCTGGACCTGGAGATTGACACACTGGGTGTCGTTGGTGGAAATGCCAATAGTCAGGGTCACGTCCGAGTACACATGGAATCCCAGCAGGCTGATGACGGGTCCAGCAAGGCTGTGGAGAGCAGGACACAGGTGGGGGAAAACAGGCTGATTCCGGAGCAGGGCTGAGAACCATTGCCCTGTGTGCACTTGGGCCAATTTTCTATGAACGTCTCTGCCAATGCTATTGGGGGGTGGGGCCCCCCCAGGCCTTTCTGCCTGGCTCCTCCCTTTGAGTGCTGGCCACTTTGTCCTTCCTCTCCCGTCTGTGGACTGCAAAGCTCCTAGTGCCGGTCCAGGTGACCCAGCGTGACCCAGAGGGTAGGGGGTGGATCTGCTGTGGAAAGAGGCTTACCCTTTCCCGCCTATGACTGCGGTCGTGGTGGCAAGGACGTGGATCCCATCCTTGGCTGTGGTGGAGTTTATGCTATCCACTGTCACTTCCTGAACCTGCAGTCTGCAGAGGAACAGTGTCAGGCATCCATCCTGTTCCAGGCATTCTGCCTGGACTGCTGGACAAGGACACACTGCTCGCTGAAACTCCAGGAACCTGGATCCTACCCCCCTCCCCATTTCCTTTTGCCAGGGCCTGGGGTCAGCTGGAGTGGGTAGGTGGTTGCATGGAAAGGACTTTCCCCTCTTGCTGGGCTGCTGGCAGTTGAATTGGAGTGTTTCTGATCCACAGGTACCTTAGGGTGAGGGAACTACCTACCCCAACAGGAGCTCGTCTAGGTCCAGGCCTCCCAGCATGTTAGTGAGGGCGTCGCTGACGTCTGGTGGCAGGGCTTTGTTCATCACATTCCTGGCAGACTCCTTGAGGTCTGTGGCTTTGCCGACCACATCGTCCAGTGGCTGCTGGAGACTGGAGAGCCCAGTGCCTTCCAGAAGGCCTTTGACGGTGCCTTTGCCTTTGCCACCACTGCCCAGCAGGCCGCCCAGCCCTTCATCTCCCAGTGGCAGCAGCCCGCCCAGCAGGTCTGTGCCCTTCGAGTTGCCACTGCTTCCCTGGCCTAGGATGTCACCAAGGCCGCCACCTTCCATGTTGAGGATTGAACCGAGGTCTAACGCAGAGAGCAGGTCCGTGTTGCTCACTGTGGCTAGCACTGAGCCGAGCACACCAGCCAGGTTGACCTCTTCACATTTGAACAGCTTCTCGATCTCTGCGGGCAGGGAGCTGTTGAGATCTGAAAAGGATGGGCAGAAAGCTTCCTGCTGTGTGCTACCGGGGCACTGCTGTCTGCTGGGGAGCCCAGCCTTGGGGTGCAGGGGGTCCAAGGGGACTTCAGGTAGTGCCTCCCAGAAATGCCCATTCCTGCTGTTGTCCTCTCCGAGGGCATCTTCCCAGGAGAGTGAAAGGCTGGTGTTAATAGCTCACGCTGATGCCAAACACCTCCCATCAAAAGCTGTTCGAGCATGGAGTAAAGGTGTCCTGTTTGCTTTGTGAGACCAGCTGGGCAGGGCACAGCACTGGCTCTATCCCTCAAAGGCCCAGTGGCCTGTGTTGGAGTCTCTCTCCCATCCTGGGGCCCCCAGTCTCTGCACTTGTCCCATGAGTGCTTGTTGGAGCATGGTTCATGGGGTGCTCAGAGGAGAACGAATGGGAATACTGTGGATTGTAGGTGTCAAGTAAAGCAGGAGGTGGTAGAGGAGCTGACAGCGGGTACGCTGGTCCCTGGGTATGATTCTGCCTGAGCTCCTCCCCTAAGCTCACCCTGGGTTTCATTTTCTCCTTGTGGGTCACAGTGTGGGTCGGGTGCTGCCCCTAGACAGGCTGCCTCTTGGAGGAGAAGCCCCCATAAGCCCTGTCTGTCCCACAGCACTGTTCTAAGCAGGCCGGAGCTGTTGATCACTGTACAGCTCTCTTTGTCTTTGAAGGATTTGGAACAAGGAAGGATGCTGGGTTGAATGAGTGCCTGCAGTCTACCTTGGGCCCACAGCCCTGTCTGTCAGCTGACCTGGGACCCAGGAAGGCTGACGAGCTGTAGCAGCAGCAGCTGGGGGAGCTGGGATGGCTGTCCTGCTGGCCTTTGCTTGCCGGGGTGCCTCCTCTTTTTTGGTTCTGTAAATGTGTGGCAGTTGGGCTTGCATTTGCCTTGTCCTGGTTCCTGGTCAAGCAGGGTGAGGATCTGAACTCCCATGGGTGCCCGTGTGAGTGCTGAGGCTCACAGCAAGAAGCAGGAAGGTCTCTAGGCCCAGCCTCCAGTCAGAAGGTGAGTCAGGTGACTTGGCTTAGTTTCTGAGAGTTTCCTGCTCTGGGCTTAGCTTAGTCCAGTCCTAGCCTATGTGAGGGTCTTGGAGCAGATCAGAAAGCTGCGCCCTGGGCTGGGGAGGCAGTGCTGTGTGTGTGTGTGTGTGTGTGTGTGTGTGTGTGTGTGTGTGTGTGTGTGTGTGTGTGTGTGTGTGTGTGTGTGTGTGTGTGGTAAGCTCCCAAGGGAACTGCAGTGCCATTTCATGTGTGGGAATCTACTTGTTCCGGAGGTGAAACTAAGCTTAGAAATGAAAATGTGTGGGGCTGGTGTTACAGGGCAGTGAGTTAAGCTTCTTCCTGCAATGTTAGCATCCCATATTGGAGCACCTGTTCCAGTCCTGGCTGCTCCACTTCCAACCCAGCTGACTTGGGAAAGTAACAGGGGCTGGCCCATGTCTTTGTGCTCTGTATCTACATGGGAGACCCAGATGGAGTTCCAGGTTCCTGGCTTGGGTCTGGCCCAATCCTGGCTGTTGTGGCCATTTGAAGAGTGAATTAGCAAAAGGAAAATCTCTCTCTCCCTCTCCCTCTTTGCGTCATGTTACCTTTCAAATAAAAAAAGTATATCTTAAAAACAAACAAGCAAGCAAGCAAACAGAGAGGCTGTGTGTGGGCGTAGACAGCCCACATGAGCGCAGGGAAGCTGTTGTTACTTACAGTCATTGAGTTTGCTCTCAGACAGGAAGTACTTGGCCACGGGTGGGCACCTGCCTCCTATGGTGCCATCTGGACTCTTTGCGGAGGGAGAGCCTTTTTTGGTTGAGAAGCGTTTCCTGAACTTTGGTTTCGGTGTTACAACGTCTAGGGCCGTGTTTGGTGCAGGCAAGAGGGGAAAGGCTTGCAGGGTGTTTAGCGTGGTGGTTGCTTCCAGCTGGTCCGGTGTCCCTACCTGGAAGCTCAGCATGAGTACCAGGGCCCACAGCATCAACATCCTGGCGACTGACACCTGCAAAGGAGGCCTCATCAGACACCCTGTGTTCAGCATGGTCCCTGGGCTGTCATGTGTGACTGTACAGGGTAGCATCCTGGCCAGGATAGGAGGATGCCATTCCGTGCATCCACAACATCTGCCGGTCAGCGTTCCGCCTGAGGGTCTCTGTCTACCTCCTGTACAACCAACCCTCCGCGGATGTGCCATAAAGACTTGTCACAGTGTGGGAGCCCTGGCCTGGCCCGCCCAGTGCCTGTCCCTCTCAGACCACACTCCTGCCTGCTGTCTTCCTCAGTCCAAGCCTTGTGGGGCCATTCTAGTCACCTGCCTGGGAACTGGAGTGCTTTGAACTATACAGCAATGGCCTTGTGTCCTGGGTCCACTCCGCAGCTGTGGCCTCAGGTCTACCTCCTAGCACTGGGCTGCATCCCTAGACATCTGCAGGGTGAGCACCCAGTGCACACTGAGCTGCCTGTCGAGGGCTTGTTCGCAGCATCTCCTGGGACTGTTCCTGCAGAGCCAGGCTCCCTGCCACATTTTCACCCTCACGCCCAGGTGGGGGGCTTAGCCAGGAGGCATTCCCAGGTGACCTTTGGAGGTCATGCCTGTGCTACCATGACCCCCCGAAGGTGTTTACCCTCCCATAGCTGGATGTTCCAGAGGCTGTGAGTGCTTCAGCTTGTCCTGTGGAGGACCCAACAGACTCTTACTTCCTCCTCTCCCTTTGCCTCTTGACCCAATCAGGGTCTGTGGCATCGATTGATCGGCTTGTGGGTCTTTGTTCTCATGCATACAGGCACTCACAGAAGCAATTCCCTAAGAGAGGGCAAATGTGGCACAAATTGCTGGGTGGTGCCTGCTCTGTAGTCAGTGTTGACGCTTCACCTTGAGTTCAATTGGTTTTTTCGTTTTACCCTTGTCTGTAGGACTTTGGAGCTACACATCTCTAAGAGAGAAAATTTCTGGGAGAATCCCATCATCAATAATCCTGTCCCATAGGAAGGCCTCCCTATGACAAGGGCTAGCATGGTTTGAAATGCATAGACTGCAGTGGCAGGTCCCTATGGAGACTGTTCCCTGCCTATCCCTGGCTCAGTTTCCACCTTCGTGAGTTCAACAGCAGCGGGTTCTTACCTTGTTCAGCGTGGACAGGATGGGGGGCTTTCGGAAGCTGCCTCTCCTCTGCCTCCGGCCTTGGAGCTGCTGCTGCTGAAGCTGTGCCTCATTTTTATAGGCCCAGGTCTCGCAGAAAAGCCATCAGATGTGCCGATAAGGGTAACATGACCCAGGCTGCCATCCAAGATCAGCACCGGCCCTTGTGATGGTGACATTTCCCTGTGTCCTCCTGGATGGAACTCAGAATGCTCAGAGCTTCTCAAGAAGGGGCAGGTGGGAGGGCTCTGTCCCTCCCTCATTGTCACCTTCATGGGCTGGGAGCCATGAAGGTGCTGGTTGCTGGCAGAGTGACAGTGGAGGGGTCTTGAGGCCAGCAGGTGTGCTCCTGCAAAGGCCTGTGTGGGGCTTTGCAGCACTCTGGGTGCAGATAGAGGGACCTGCCCTAGCCAAGCCCCATCAGCGTGGACATGGCAGTCAGGACATCCTAGGTTAGGTTATGGTTGTGCCACCAATTGGCTTTGGGACCTCATTCAGTCACTTCACCTCTGAGGTCCGCCTGCCCTTATTCATTGGTCTCTCCCATAGATGTGCCAGGCTTGGAGGCCACAGCCATGGGCAGACATCCCCTCTCTCTGCAGTCCTCAGGCTCTGGTTGTGGGGAGCATTCAGGTTTCCTAGGGGAACAGGCATTCATGAAGTCATTCAACACACATCCTGATTTATTTGAAGAACAGGTGTTGGGAGGGGACATTCCATTGCTTTGCCAGACAAATGAGCAGGGAGCTGGAACAGAAGTGGAGCAGTCAGGACACAAACCATCTTCCATTTGGGATTCTGGTGTTTCTTGCAGGCAGCATCTTTACTGCACCACAACATTGGCCCTGTCTGTGAGTTTGATCAAGCCCCAACATATGTGAGATTTTTGTGCATTCTTGCAGAGCCAAATGCTTCTACTCTTTCCCACATGGGTCAGTCCCATTTCACTGTGCCTAACCCTGTCTGCCATGCAGGTGAGCCTCTGCTACAGATTCTTTTTAAAAAGATTTCATTTATTTTTATTGGAAAGGTAGATTTCACAGCGAGAAGAAGAGACAGAGAAAGATCCTTCATCCTTTGGTTCACTTTCCAAATGGCCACAGAGCTGAGCTGATCCAAAGCCAGAAACTTCCTCCAGGTCTCCCATTTGGGTGCAGGGTCCCAAGGCTTTGGGTCATCTTTTACTGCTTTCTCAGGCCACAATCAGGGAGCTGGATGGGAAGTGAGGCAGCCGGGACATGAACTGGTATCCATGTGGGATGCCATGTTTAGAGGTAGAAGATTAGCCAGGTGAGTCACTGCGCTGGCCCCTGCTGCAGGTAATTGAAGCATTGTTGTTTCTTGAGGACTCTGAAACATTCCATGACTGAGCACCTGTGTTCTCTTTCTTACTGCTGTTTCTATAAACACATGCTGAGCCAGACATTGCTCCCGGATGGCAGTGGACAGTGTACTCTGCATTGCTGGTTCCATCCTGAATGGGGTTAACTGGGGGGGCAAAGGAGAGAGGAGAATGATATCCCCACTGTCCCAGGAATGCAGAAACCATCACAGATCTGGCGCAGGCAGCTGGGGTGGAAGCTTGTGGGGGTGGGGGAAGCATCTGGAAGGTTCTCTGGAGAGTCCTTAGGGCAGCCATGGCCTGGCTTTGCCCTGGATTCCCAGCAGGTGTGGGTAGGAAAACCTTGATGTCCCTGTAGATCTCATCACCACCTGGGCTGGGTTGTTAATCACCAGGTGTTTGACTCATGGCCCCTCCCGCCCTAGCTTCCAGGAGGATGCTCCAGGTTTGAGAAGGCTTGAGTTCCAGCAGGAAGGTCACAGACCTAGGGGTCTGGAGCTCATCTGGGATTTGGACTCAGGCTCCTGGTCTAGGTCCTGGGCTGGCTGCTTTTCCTTTCTTAGGACGAAGGGTGATGTTGTCTCCAGGTTCTTGGCATCCCTCCCCTTCTCCCTCCATCCATCCCTTCTTCCTTCCATTCCTCCATTCATCCGTTCATCTCCCACCCCTTTCTCCATGCCATGATGGTTGACAGTGGGGACCAGGCAGTGGACAAGAGGTACCATGTCCTCCTGGGTGAAGCTAGCTCTTGCTAGAGGAGTCTCACAGTAGGACACATGTGAGGGAGGAAGAACAAAGGTGATGGAGAGAGAAAGTGGGGTCCTTTTGGACAGGATGTGTTGGCATGGCTTTAGGATGAGTGACAGTGCATCCAGGCAGGCTGAGCCCTGGGAAGCCAGCAGTGGGTGGAAGGGAACTGGAACATCCAAACCATTTGGGGTGGGAGAAAAGGAGCTGTACTGAAGGTCCAGGAACTCCCCTGGGAGACAGAGTGGCGAAGAAGGGAGGGGATCCCAGCGGTGCCACATGTGGGTTGCCCTGCTGTGCATGCAGGAGCCTGCTTCCTGTTACCTAGGCCTGTCCTCAGTGACACTCCATGAAGGCATGTGGATTTGTTGTCAGAGCCACTGGGCAGGATTTTATTTACTTTTTTGTTTTTTTTTTTCAAAAAATTTTTGAGGGCCCTGCATGGTAGTCTGGCAGCTGAAGTCCTCACCTTGCGCATGCCAGAACCCCATATGGGTGCTGGTTTGTGTCCTGGCGGCCCTGCTTCCTATCCAGCTCCCTGCTTGTGGCCTAGGAAAGCAGTAGAGGATGGCCCAGGGTCTCGGGTTCTTGCACCTGCGTGGGAGACCCAGAAGAAGCTCCTGGCTCCTGCCTTTGGATTGGCTCAGCCCCGGCCATTGCGGTCACTTGGGGAGTGAATCATTGGATGGAAGATCTTCCTCTCTGTCTCTCCTCCTCTAGTATATCTGACTTTCCAATACAAACGAGAAGTGTTACTTGAAATGTATAGTTTCTCCCTCTTTCTTTCTGTCTCTGAACACACACACACACACACACACACACACACACACACACACACACACAGAGGGGAGAGAAAGAAACAGCAATCCTTCACCTGCTGGTTCAGTCCTCAAATAACTACAATGACTGTGGCTGGACCAGACTGAAGCCAGAAGCCAGGAACTACACTGGGGTCTCTCATGTGGGTGCAGGAGCCTGAGCACTTAGGCCATCTTCTGTTGCTTCCCCCAGGTACACCTGCAGTGAGCTGGAGAAGAAGCAGAGCAGCTGGAATGCAAAGTGGCATTCCTATGGGATGTTGGTGTTGCAAGCTGCCAATTAGTTTACTGCACCAGGATCTTAACCAACAGAGTCATATAACTGGCTCAACCCAATTACGTCTTTCCTGAAGTTGCCCTGGGATGTCCTAGAAGTGTGTTGGTTGCCTGTAGTGGTTGTCATATACCGAATTCTGATCTTGGGCCAGTTGCCTCTTTCAGTGGAGCCCAGATGGCAGAGTCTGTTCTTTGAGTCCCAAGTCTTTTTTCCTAAGGTTTATTTATTTTTATTGGAAAGTCAGATATACAGAGAAGCGGAGACAGAGAGGAAGATCTTCCATCGGCTGGTATACATCCCAAGTGGTTGCAATGGCTGAAGCTGAGCCAATCCAAAGGCAGGAGCCAGGAGCTTCTTCTGGGTCTCCCATATGTGTGCAGAGTCCCAAGGCTTTGGGCCGTCCTTGACTGCTTTTCCAGGCCACAAGCAGGGAGCTGGATGGGAAGCAGGGCCACCAGGACACAAACCAGCGCCCATATGGGGTTCTAGCATGTGCAAGGTGAGGACTTCAGCTGCCAGACTACCTACTGTGCTGGGCCTGGGTCCCAAGTCTGCTTCTGGGGAGGCCCGGTCACCTTGTGTCCACCAGCCCAGGATCTGGATCTGTGGTGGCTGAGGTGTTTGATGCAATCACAGCATGCAAAGCAAGTGTTGGGGTGAGAGG